TCACAGCTGGTTCAAGGTCACCTCGGGGGAGGGAACCAAGAAAATGAGTGTCTTGATCTCCCTTTGCTGCCTCCTCCTGATTTCCTGTTATGGCTCCCGGTTGGTATAACTCAACCAGAGGGCATGGGAGCCTAATGATGTAATTCCTCCTGAAACAGAGAGCAGAGTGGAGAATCAGTCATTGAGCCCACAGGGACAGATGGATGACATCCAGAAGGCTCTTCTTTCGGAATGCAATATGCATCTTACCTCTTCAGGAAGCCTTTGTTTCCCTTCCTGACCAAAATTAGCTTTTCAGTCTCTTGTTAGGATTTGGTCATTGACTGTTGCCTTCTAACTGTTTCACCTTGGGTGATTGTTGTTCAGTCACTAAGTCATGTCCGACTCTTTGCGACCCCATGGGCTGCAGCACGTCAGGCTCCTCTGTCCTCCACTGTCTCCTGGAGTTTACTCGGATTCATGTCCATTGAGTTGGTGATACTGTCTAACCATCTCATCCTCTGCCACCTCCTTCTCTTTTTGCCTTCAGTCTTTCCCAGCATCAGGGTCTTTTCTAATGAATCGGCTCCTCGCTTAAGGTGGCTAAAGTATTGGAGCTTCAGCTTCAGCTGCAGTCCTTCTAATGAATATTCAGGACTGATTTCCTTTAGGATTGACTGGTTGGATCTCCTTGCAGTCCAAGGGATTCTCAAGAATCTTCTCCAACACCACAGTTCAGAAGCATCAATTCTTCGGCGCTCAGCTTTCTTTATGCTTCAACTCTCACATCCGTTCATGACCACTGGAAAGACCATAGCTTTGACTGTATGGACCTTTATCAGGAAAATGATGTCTCTGCTTTTTAATATACTGTCTAGGTTTGTCATAGCTTTCCTTTCAAGGAACAGGTGTCTTTTAACTTCATGGCTGTGGTCACTGTCCATAGTGATTTTGGAGCCCAGGAAAATAAAATCAGTCACTGCTTCCACTTTTCCCCTTCTCTTTACTATGAAGTGATGGGACTGGATACCATGATCTTAGTGTTTTGAATATTAAGTTTCAAGCCAGCTTTGTCACTCTCTTCTTTCTCCCTCATAAAGAGGCTCTTTAATTCCTCTTTACTTTCTGTCATTAGAGTGCTATCATCTGCATATCTGAGGTTTTTGGTATTTTTCCCAGCGGACTTAATTCCAGCTTGTGATTCATCCAGCCCAGTATTTTGCAAAATGTACTCTGCATAGGAGTTAAATAAGCAGGGTGACAATATACAGTCTTGTATTGCTTTCCCAATTTTAAACAGTTATTGCATGTGTAATTGTAAATGTTGCTTATTAATCCACATACAGGTTTCTCAGGAGACAGGTAAGGTGGTCTGGTACTCCCATCTCTAAGAGTTTTTCAGTTGGTCGTGATCCATATAGTCAAAGGCTTTACTGTAATCAGTGAGGCAAAAGTAGATGTTTTTCTGGAATTCTCTTGTTTTCTCCAGATTCAAGGAATGTTGGCAGTTTGATCTCCTGTTCCTCTGCCTTTTCTCAACCCAGCTTGTGCATATGGAAGTTCTCGGTACGCCTACTGCTGAAGCCTATCTTGAAGAATGTTTAACATGGCTTTGCTAACATGTGAAATGAGCACAGTTGTACAGTTGTAAAGTTGTTTGAGATTTCTTTGGGATTGGAATGAAGACTGACCTCACCTTGGGTACTGCTGGGTTATTTAAAAGTGATTAATTCTTTTTAACTTCTAAGTATGAGTCTTTCCCACTCAACTCAGTTTTAAACTGTGTGAGTAAAATTTTTTTCCATTTTTCTTTATACCTAGCTTGATGCCTTGTACATAACTTTTTTTTTTTTTTAGCTTTTTAGTTTTAAAATTCTTTAAAGTTTACACAAGTAGAAAGAATACTATAATGAACTCCAAGGTACTCACCATTCCAGTTAGAAAATTTGCTGTTCTTACTTGATTTGTCACCCCCTCTGAGGTCCCCCTGCTCCTCCACCCTTGGTAATGTTTTTTTTTTAAGTTGCATTTACCTTGATCTCTTGGAGGCGTGGACAGTATGCGGATTATCTTAATCCAGGTTGTCAGCATTCTTGAGCCACTAGGATTGTATTTGTACTCCTTATTTTTAATCTCCTTTATTATGCAGATTTTACCTCAGGACATGTGATCTCAAATGCACATGCATATTGGTGGCCTAAGTGAAATTTCTGTGAAAATTTTAAGAGTTGGCCAGTATTCAACGTAACTTCCTCTCTTAGTATACTTTATTATGAGCTGTTTATCTAACCTTTTTTAACCGAGGCTTTTGTTATAATGAGACTTGTGCTTTGACTTTGCCATGTGGACCCAAGCTGGTTTTTCAGGTGTTTCTTGATGTACTTTATGTTGTGATATCTGTTTTATAGGTGCCATTTCTGTACTTATCCCCAAATGTATGCAGTCTCTAAAATGAGATACTTGCATAAATGTTCACGGAAAATTGGAGCATCTGCTGCAAATTTCCATTAGCTCTTAATGCCTGAGCAGACACAGCTTTAAAATCTGAATGTGTTGTCAGATTCTTTTGTATTAGTCTTTTTCTTGCGATGAGATGAGCTCCTCCTCTTCTTCATTTCACTTTCTTTTAAGGTACATGCTGAAATATCCTCAGGGAGCAATTTGCACTGCTCTGTCTCCCTCCTATTATGTCATTAAATAGTAGAAGGATAATACAAGTCACCTTTGTAACCCTGTGGGTGTGTAGAGTCTGTGAGCAAATATTCACTTGTTAACCTCCAGATTATCAATCAGCCTACATAGCTGTCTCATTTCTTGGGAAGGAGACCTTCCATCTGTAGTAGGGCACCAAATCTTATGTAAGAAATTGAATGTTCAAGGAGTCCTAGTAACTATTATTTAAGAAATTTGCATTAATCAATTGAACTGAAAGAAATAAAGCCTTAAGTGAATGACCCTATAGGGAAATCAGTAATCATTTGAAGAGCCAAAGCTTCCCTTGGCCTACAAATGTGGAATTCTCAGGCAGTGTGGGCTTCCCAGGTGGTGCTAGTAGTAAAGAACCCACCTGCCACTGCAAGAGGCAAGAGATTCGGGTTCGAGCCCTGAGTGGGGAAGATCCCCTGGAGGAGGGCATGGCAACCCACTCCAGTATTCCTGCCTAGAGAATCCCATGGACAGAGGAGCCTGGTGGGCTGCAGTCCATGGGATCACAAAAAAGTTGAACACGACTGAGCGACCAACACTTTGACTTTCACTGTGAAGCCACAAAGGATTTTTCTAAAGGAACAAATTGTTCTCCCCACAGGCCCCTTCTTTAGTGACTTAAGATTGACTGTAGAGATTTAAAAACACTTCTGTTCTTCCTGTTTGAGAGAGATATAAGGGAAATAGTCTTTTGAGAGGTAATGCCCTCAGTTTGTTTAGGGGGGGCAGTGACCCAAGGGCCACTGGCCTTGGGGAGCTGGCAGAGCTGTCTTTGCTGTAACAGCTGTGGAATGCATTCCCTGCGGGGAATGCAGCTAGAAGTAGAAGAGAGAAAAACCGCTTGGCGCAAGGCAGTGTGTCAGGACGGAGGGGAGAAGTGGTACTGAAGAAACCGAGAGTAAAATGCTTGCCTTTTTGCACGATATGGATCTGGTTATGGAAAGTTAGGGTGCCACAAAGAGTAGAAAAGAAGAGCGGGAACGCCATAACTGCTGTCAGCTCATGGGGAAGAAAAGGGCCTGAAACTGATCAGAGGACTAGGGAGGCCCTACAGGAGTTCAGGTACCATCTTGGCAGCAGCTAATGGGCCCCTAAAAGGTGATTCAGCCACCTGCAGGAAGAGGAGCCTTGCTTCACCTCCTGAAATGAATTCAGAGCCTGTACTGAGGTTTAAGAATATGATCTTTGGCCTATAGCTAGTTCTACTAGTAATTTTGCTGGCATTTACTGAATGTTGTGAGTAAGATTCCAGAATGCACCTAAAATGTGGAAAAACAAAACTTGGTGCTGGAAAAAAGCCTAAACTTAAAAATGTGTTCCAAGTCAACAAGTTAATCTCACTTTAAGCCAAAGGAAATGCTTGAAAGTTCTGCCAGAAAATAAAGTATTCAAGATTTAGGCTAAAAGATAAAGCATTTCATATTAATGCCTTCCTTGGCCATGACACATTACTTGAACCTACAGATAACCCCTTTTAAGGCCTCTGTGCTTTTTTAGACCTAAAACACAACTAGGATATCAGTTTTTACCTTCTCTGCTGCCCCTTTCCCTTTCAGAAAAAAAAAAACATATATATATATATATATATGTATATGAGTGTGTGTGTGTATGAGTAATAGTTGACCACTAATATGACCTCTAAAAAAACCACAGCGTAGTTTGTGGTTTATCGTCAGGAGAATAAAGAAAAGGAGGAACTGGATCATTGCTTTTATTTAGTTTCATTTGTATAATACTTCTCAAAATTCTCTATGCCCTTTACATAAAGTTACATGCCCATATTTTCACAATTCTAAAGATATGGGGAGGAAAAAAAAGTTTATGGTTTTAGTAATAAATCAGAATTTCACTTGGTGCAAGAAATTGTCTCCTGAGAATTGCATCAATCATGTGTTGAATTTACAGAATGGTGTTTCATAATCCTTGAGGTGATTCTAGGTTCCCTGAGAATGACGGTAGCCCTTTAATGATGGAATAGCAGTCTTTTTTTTTTTTTCTTTCTGGCATTGTACAAAAGAGGAATACTGATTAGGTCCAGCTAGATGTTTAGGGGAAAGTCAAGAAAAAAGGAGGTGTAGTTAACTCATTTCCAAAGAAAGAAATGAAGGATTGAAAGACCTTGATCATCAGTCTCAACAGGGGACAACACTCCAAAGAAAAATTCTAAGCAATTTAAGTCTCTACTGAGGATAGCCAGGTATTTCAATATGGAGCTCCAGGTTAGAAAATACTAACCTTAGATTTCCTGAATTATATGCCTATAATGATTCTGTAACCTGGTGTTTCTTTCTGTCATATATTCTGTTTTTTTAGATATGGAAGAAAGCAGCAGTGTCACCATGTTGGTGCCAGATATTGGGGAACAGGAAGCTATGTTGACTGCCAAAACTGTCATCAGTTCATCATTGGAAATTGATGAACAAAGAAAAGCTAAAACGGATCCATTAATCCATGTTATCCAGAAGTTAAGCAAGATAGTGGAACATGAAAAGTCACAAAAATGTCTTTTGATTGGCAAAAAACGGTCACGTTCCAGTACTGCAGCACACTCTCTTGAAAGTCAAGAATCTTGTGAGATTCCAGCTAAAGTAACCCAGTCACCTGCTACTGATATTAGAAGGGCTGAGATGTCTCAAATACATTTTACCCCTAACTCTCCTGCCCAGAGTGATGGGAAGGCTATGTCTTACCAGTGTAGCCTTTGTAAGTTTCTGTCATCATCTTTTTCTGTGTTAAAAGATCATATCAAGCAGCATGGTCAGCAGAACGAAGTGATATTAATGTGCGCAGAGTGCCATATTACATCAAAAAGCCAAGAGGAACTTGAAGCTCACGTGGTAAATGACCATGAAAATGACGCCAACAGTCACACTCAATCCAAAGGCCAACAGTGCATAAGCCCCACCAACTCCGTGTGTCACCGAACCTCAGAAAGAAACAGTGAAACCATTCCTGACGTCCCAGCAAGTGTGGACAGCCCACAGACTCATACTGTGCAAACAGCGTCCGTGGCAGAAATAGGTAAGAGGAAATGGTATGCCTATGAACAGTATGGCATGTATCGGTGCTTGTTTTGTAGCTACACTTGTGGCCAGCAGAGAATGTTGAAAACACATGCTTGGAAGCATGCCGGGGAGGTCGACTGCTCCTATCCAATCTTTGAAAATGAGAATGAGCCCCTCGGCCTGCTGGACTCATCCGTGACTGCTGCACCCAGCGGCGTCCACGCAGTAGTCATCGCGATTGGAGACAGTGAACTGAGTATCCACAACGGGCCGTCAGTGCAGGTGCAGATTTGCAGCTCAGAGCCGTTACCAACTTCCTCTCCTTTAGAGCAGAGTGCAGAAGGTGGGGTTCATCTCAGTCAGTCGGTTACCCTTGACCCTAACGAGGAAGAAATGCTCGAGGTGATTTCTGATGCCGAGGAGAACCTGGTTGCTGATAGTCTCCTTTCATCAGCACAGAAAATCATTAGCAGCAGCCCAAATAAAAAAGGCCACGTTAACGTGATAGTGGAGCGTCTGCCAAGTGCTGAAGAAACGCTTTCACAGAAACATTTCCTCATGAATGCCGAGATCGAAGAGGGGAAGAGCCTGAGCCCAACAGAAGCCAAGATTGGGTGTGAAGGAAGAGAGGAAGTCTATCATGCTGATAAATGCACTGTTGATATCGGGGGGCTGATCATAGGCTGGGGCAACTCAGAGAAGAAAGACAGCGACTTAATAAACAAAGGACTGGCTACTGATGAGAATGCCCCACCGGGCCGAAGAAGGACAAATTCTGAGTCTCTTCGACTACACTCACTAGCTGCAGAAGCCCTGGTTACAATGCCCATAAGAGCTGCAGAACTAACACGAACCAACTTTGGGCACTATGGGAACATAAACCTTTTAGACCCGGACACTGGACAAAGGCAAGTAGATGGGACAGTGGCAGCATATTCTAAAATGATGTCCCCACTGAAAAACTCTCCTGAGGGGTTAGCTAGTTTCAACCAAAGCAACTCTACCTTAGTAGCACTCCCAGAGGGTAGGCAGGAGCTGGCAGACGGGCAGGTTAAGACGGGCATCAGCATGTCCCTCCTCACTGTGATTGAAAAGTTACGGGAAAGGACAGACCAAAATGCTTCCGATGATGATATTTTGAAAGAGTTGCAGGATAACGCCCAATGCCAGCCCAGCAGTGACGCGAGTCTGTCAGGAAGCAGCGTGGTGGAGTACATCGCTGACGCCGAGCGGCCCTACCGCTGCCGGCTGTGCCACTACAGCAGCGGTAACAAGGGCTACATCAAGCAGCACCTGCGAGTCCATCGGCAGAGACAGCCCTACCAGTGCCCCATCTGTGAGCACGTCGCTGACAACAGCAAGGACCTGGAGAGCCACATGATCCACCACTGCAAGACGAGAATATACCAGTGCAAGCAGTGTGAGGACTCCTTCCACTATAAGGTGAGCACGGCTCACGAAGTCCTTCAGAAAGCTCTAGGGTTTTAGAGCAAAGAGGGAGCTTTCTAGACACAGTCCACCCACCCCATTTTATAGATATGGAAACTGAGGCCCAGAATAGTTTGGTAATGTGCCCAGGGGATCCCTGTTACTTGGTGTTAAAGTTGGGACTGGAATCTGGGTCGTCAGGATGTCTGGCATAGGATTCTTTTTCCCCGCGTGCCCCATCTTTAACAGACCCTGTGTTTATTGCTTTAGTGTTTTCATGTGTATATCTTTTTTAAATTGTGTTGATTTTAAAGTGCAAGGAAATCGCAAGGGGGTGTACTGTGGAGGGACATCATGCACGCATCTGACTCACATTTAGCCATATGTCATGAATGCATAAAAATACCTATTTTTAATCTGCGTGGTCCCTAAATGCAAGTCATTCACTCCAGCTGCTACACAGCGAGCCAAGGGTGATTTACACCTTTGCACAGGGAGAAATGGGCTGTATGAGCTATAATGAAAGATAGGGCAGTGGGGACAGAGCCATGTGTGTTATATTTCATGGGAAGTTCGCAGGACTTCCAAGGATTACCTTGACTGATTTTCATTTTGTGTGCTACCTAAAACCAGCAACCCGTATGAAACACTGTTTTTGGAAAGGAAATTTGCATTCATTGAATCACTGGTTTAGAACTTTTCTTCACTGTGCCAGTTGACTGTTGGCGGGGGTGGGGGAGGGAGTGCATCCCTAAACAGGTAACTGAGGTGTAGATTTTTGCTCTTAGATTAGCCGGTGTTGGGGTCCAGGTCCACTGAATAAATAGGTAATCAAGAGTTTTTTAAAAAGCCTCTGAGTCAAAGATTTTCGCTGTCACTTGGATTATTCTCATGTAATTCTGAAACAGCCTCTGGCATTGGACAAGCAGTCTATACGGATGATCTGCAGAGGCAAGTTCCAGGAGTTTCTTCTGCTGATACACTTGATTCATGGGGCTAGGGGTGAGGAGGAAGAGGTCCTGAGTCACAGTTCGAGTTAAGTCTCTTTTACACATTTAATTGATATTTAAAGGCAGAAGTGCAGAAGTTAACTGATTGGATTGATTTTCGTGAAGGTATTGAGTTACTCTGAACACTCTGCTTGTTCCTCCTCTGGGCTCAGCAGTGGTTCAGGAAGCATACACACACTCTGCACAAGCTCCGCTAAGACATCAGTGGCTTCCTTTTAGAGAACGTGGAAAGAGGAACTAACTGCCTTTTTGATAAGATTGTGTTTTCTCTAGTGTATTTCTTCCTGTAAGTTGTCAAATGTGTCAAGTTATCTTTTAGCACATTCGGTGCTAAAATACTGGTAATGTGTTCTAGGTACTAGGCCATGAAAGCAGTTCACTCCTTTCTGTAGCCTCCTAGTAACTGTACAAGTGTGTTTATTGAAAACTACATATTAATTTCTCTCAATTTTTTAGAGTCAACTGAGGAACCATGAGAGGGAGCAACACAGTCTTCCAGATACCTTGTCAATAGCAACTTCTAATGAGTCTGGAATTTCCAGTGATAAAACTGATGGAAAATGTGTTCAGGAAGGTATCTCTGCATTTTTTTAATATATATATAGATGAGATTGACTAGCATACGAAGTGAAAAAATGCCCTTTGTTGTCATGTGGGTTATTTTCAGAACTAAGGCTGTGTCTCTTCTCTGTTTTTATACTATGTGAGTGAATCTTAACTCTTGAGTACTAAGTGAGTATTGTTGGTAAGTACTCAGGTTCAACCATCTAGGTAGATGTGCTCTGAAATTTATGCTGTCTTGTAAGAGCCAGGTTTAGCAGAAGCCCTGAGGTGACATGCCAGCAAGCCAGGGGAGCTGCAGCACGGAAGGAAAGCCTCCCTCTCTCAGTGCCGGCTGACCCACTGAGAATGGAGCTTTTGCAGATGGTAGGCCCCCACCTCAAACTTTAACTGAGGCTTCCTGCTGTGATCTTATTCTTATCCAAGTGTGACTGCCAGATTTCATCTGCATTATTTAAAAAAAAAACAGCACAGGCTCTTTTTATGTACCAGTTAGGTGCCAGTCGGCCGAGTTTCTGCTAATAGGAATATTAGAATCAAAAGATTTAATTAGAGTTCCATGAAAAGGCGGATGCCACATCCGGAGAATTAGGGATAAAGTGTAATAAGCTGTGCTTCCTTGCTTCAGCTCACTTAAATTGATATACTTTAAATGTCTCAATTGTGGTACATAGCGTTTATGGGAAATAAAACATATTGGGGTGACTTTCCTTTTTAGATTTCCTCAGAATTAAAGTTAGAAACAACTGCAGAGTAAAATGTTTTGCCATAATGTTTCATTAAATTATACCCCAGAAAGCATAACTGATTCTAGAATGTTTCTGAAAGAACTGATTTTGACACCACTGTAGCACCAAAATTCCCTTGTCAAACAGATGTCATCCCTGTAAAACTATCCAAAACAAAAGGAGTTTATGACATAGCATCTGTTCCTGCGATAGATGGCTGAGCTAAAACTGTTTTGTTTCCTTTATACAAAATAGCCCTAACTGCCTCCTTTTATTTTAATTCATTATGTTTCCATATCCCCTTTAAAGGAGACATTAAAACATTTGATATCTTTGGACCATAAATCCCTAATGAAGGAATAAAGTAAGTACTACTCACTGGTACCACCTGCGGTTACTCCCAGCGGTGGAATATGTCTTTTCTAGCACCATCTCCAAAAGCAATAATTTAAAACTGTCCAAATGGGTTAACAAATTAAAACACACAATTTGAATTAAAAAGATTGAAATGTCAACTCAAAATTAAAATAACCAGTTTGGGCTTCATAGCATGCTACATCTCTCCACCATATTCCGTTTTCAAGCATCTTTCTTTTGTGGCTCAAACTCTTGTTTCTTAGGGTGACTATAATAGATTTTAAAATGCCTCTCATGCCTACTCCCCCCATTCAACTCTCTTTGCTGGTAGAATAACAGTTCAGATGACTGAGAATTCCTGCTTGCTTAATCTACACTGATACTTTATTGATTCAGTATTAGATATTTTAGAATATGGTGGTTGGGCTGAACAAGTTTTTAGCTCACAAAGAAGGTGAAAATGATTCACATTTTAACCATTTAATAAACTTAATAAACAAGAGGGGAGATGTATACTTCTGTGGCTTCGAGTCTCTGTCACGATAGCCCAGGTAACTTGTAGCTCATTTTTGACTCAGAGGCCCAGTGTAATAGCACCACAGACATTTGTTCTGCCAGAAGGTGTGGAGTGCCCATCGTGAGCTGGATACTCTGCAGAGTGCTTGCAATGCAGTAGAGCTGTCAGTGCCCTTGAGGGGCCCAGCCCAGTGACGAACACATAACAGTATAAACGAGTACATTAACAAACACCGAAGGTGCTCAGAGAGCTGTGGACAGAGCACTTTCATATGGAGTTTCTTAATGAAACTTAATTAATTGTTCTTTATCGTAAACCTACAATTTGCCAAACCCTGGGGATTTTATGTAAGCAGAACAAGCAGATCCCTGCCCGCAGGGAGGCTCCAGCTAGTGACGGGTCAGACTTGACACCAGCACACAGGTAACATACAGACTGGGGTGAGGTACAGCATGCTCCTGGGCTTACAAACCATGCCGGGAAGTTCCAGTATTTCCATTTTGTAGATGAGGAAACCAAGTCCTCAAGAGGGGAAATAATTTGCCCGTGATCACACTCATACGAAGTGGCAGAGCAGGGACTGAGCCCAGGTTTTTGAAATTTAAATCCAGTATTCTTTCCGTTGGAAACAGTTGCTTGAAGTAGCACAGCCTCTCATTCTGTGCTATATTAAGTTTTCCCATCTGTCATTTTTATTAGTTGTCATTGATCTGTAATATTTCTCACACAGAACCATTATACAATATTTCACACTTATTTTTTTCAGGGTTTTTTTTTTTAAAACTCTTATCTGGAGTAGTGCCACTTATAATCAAGTCCAAGTTTTTAACCCACCAATTAAGAGCAGTACTTAGATTATAATTATGATTAGTGTGTATATTAATGTTACAGATTTATACCAGGAAATTAGGACATTTTGTTCTGCCTGGCAAAAGTAATTATTAGCCAAAGAAAATTGCAGTTTTAGAAAGCTTAAATTTAACCTAAGGATTTTCTTTGTTTTGTTAAAATTCCCATATGGGAGTTCTTTTGTATCACCAGTTTTACTTTCCTGCAGCGTGTGCTGGCGTTCTACCTAAGCTTTCTTCCTGCTCTGCCTTGTTCTGCGATTTCTGTGCTTGCTCTGTTTCTGAATATAAAGCATTCAGGCTATGAATGGCCTGTGAACTCTGTGCTGACAGAAGAGTAGATAAATTGTTGAATATCTTCAGGAACAAAAAGTTTTCTATGATCAAGTCATTCTGCTTGTATTGCCTCAAGCTTACCCCGATTTGAATCCTGCCCACCCCCCACACCTCGCCCCTTGTTGCAGTGTGAGTTTAGTAACAGGGCCTAATTCCATGGGTCTGTGTTTCCTGGATTTCAGAGAGCTGCATGTTCACCTTAGTCCTTGTAAACTGTTAGCTTACGGGGTATATTTATACTGCATTACATAGCACTTAATAATTTGCCTTTGCTTTTCCCTCTGTTGTAAGTTATAAACAAAGGAAACCTACAGAGTGAAAAAGCTTTGGACTTTGTATATTGAGTTTGTTACAGATGCTTTGTAGCTGTACTTTATAGTACTGGATTATAGTATTAAATTACAACTGGTTAGCAAATCAGTGTTTCCTGATGGCTATCTATATGGATGAAACCAACACCTTTCAGATTCACAGTTTATTTCTGGTTAAATCAGTTGCAACTCAGTCAGCAGGGCAGCTGGCATCAGGTTCATTATAGTTTAGAATTTTATACAAGGTTATGTAGAAGCTAACCCAATGTATTTTTACGGGTCAGATGATACTCACTTTATATCCACGGAAAGTGCAGAATGCAGGAGAACCCGTAAAGCTAGATTTGAGCTTGTTGACTTTATTAACCAGTGAGAAAGCCTGCATTGAAATGTTAATACTGTGTGGTATAAATTCTCATTTACAGTGGAATGTAATTATTGTTGTTTTAATCTAATCCAACCACATCACTAAAACTGAAATGCTTTGTCCAGGGAATAAGTCTTCAGTCCAGAAGCAGTATAGATGTGATGTGTGTGATTATACAAGTACAACATACGTTGGTGTCAGAAACCACAGACGAATCCATAACTCTGATAAGCCTTACAGGTAAGTGTGATGATCCTGGCGTTTTAATACTTGTATTGCAATACTGTAAAGAAAAAAATGGAAGTAATTAAAAATTTGTAGTTGTTTAAGCATAGGTTAAGCACTAGGAAACTTTCACTTCCTGGTTTCACAAGTTGTGTAGTTTGTTAAAGAACTTGACTATTAAGCTTTAGTCTCAGGATGATAGGCTTATTTTTGACTAGATTTTGCCTAGTAGCAACAAAAGAAGATGCCTATATCTGTCAGTTTCATGTGGGTATAAATTAGCATAATAGTTTTCACTGCTTAGAGTACATTTCAATAATTTGGTAGTTAAGTATTCAGTATTCCAGCAGAAGACTCTTAAAACTTAAAAGCAATAAAACTCCCCATGAAAGATTCTATTTTTGAAAATAAATGTTACCATGTGTAGAGTAAGATCGTTTAATTTTGTTACTTGATTTTTTACAAAAGCTCATTCTAATGTGTATTCAGAAAATATAGGTGTTCTCAGTTGATTAAGATAGGTTGATAAATAGAAATAATTACTTCTTAAATAAACTTTGCCTCTGGAGAATAAACTACTTGTTGTTTATGTATAGTAAAGATACAGATGTTTTTGCAAAGGTTGTCCAGCTGTCACAGAGCAGTGTGTTCTACTGGTAGCCGGCAGGGAACATCGAGTTTCCAGTCAGAGCTAAGCCAGTCACCGTGACTGATCGTGCGTGCTCAGCAGTGCCCTGGGCTTTTCTGTCCCCTTGACAAAACTTGGTTCCTGTTTTAACTCTCTCCCCAGGTTTTATAGGTGTGACACAGGTCACTGTGGGAAAGTTACTATGTTAATATCTAAATGAGAACCTGGCAGACTGTACCTTAAATTGCCATTGCTTCATCCCATACTGTGGCACACTCTCTCTCACTCTCTTTATATATACATATATGGTTTTAATATAGAGAGTATATATATATGTGGTTTTGAATAATTGTATATGGTTTTAAATAATTAATAAATGCAGTGAGAATCTTCCTGTTACATCAGAGAAGTCTTTGTAGGTTTTCTTCCAAACTTGTTCACACAGTACTCTTTCGCTGGGTTTGACCTGTGTGCCTTAGAAAAAATGTTGTCATGCCAACCCCTCCATGTAATTATTACCTTTCATGTAACACTTGTTTTCCAACTTTCAAATCCTGTGACTCTTCTTTTAACCTTCTTTAAATACTTCCCTTGTCTTCATGAGATTTGCACTCTACAGAGCATTATGGGTTACCATATTCTTTTCCTAGGACTTTCTGTAGAAAGCATAGTCGTCTTGATATCTAATTTAATATTAAGTTATCATAGTTTTCCTGGCTTATTTCATATATGCTTCATTTGGTTTTGCTGCCTAGCATACTTATGGTCAGAGTTGAGGCTTGCTTTTTCAGAGCGCATACACTGTGCATTTCTGATAGCATGTTACTTGGAGCGCTGAAGGGTCTGGCTTATGAGGTCATCTCAGAAACCCTGTCCTCACTGCAGAAAGAAGAGAGCTATTTTCCATTCCCATGTTAGAACAGGCAAAGATGAAAAAGGCCTCATCCTATCCCAGACCTACCAAATGTAGCAAACTGTTCTTTTCAGTGCTTTATTAAGGAACATTCTAAGTAAACCACATACCAGTTATGATAATTATAACATTGATCCCAAAATTAGTAAAAGGTGTATTCAAAATTTTCAGATATTAGATTGTCTCTGGCTTAGCTTAATATTGCGGTACTAGAGTTACTGCTGCTTTCCTTCCTCCCACTTTCATGAATGACTAACTAGAGATGGAACAACAAAACACTTTCTTGTGTCCCCAAGGTTCCTCCTGATTGTGGCTTTGAGCCCATTTTCCCTTAGAAACATAATTATATCAGTACTCGGGTTCCAAAACTACATGGCGAGATGGAGAGTAGGAGGAACAACATGACAAAGAGGGACATACATGGGCTTTGGACTGAAGTACTCAGTGCGCTGCCTGACACATAGTAGATACTCAGTAAATGACTGATGTGCTTGTGTGCTAAGTCACTTCAGTTGTGTCCGACTCTTTGAGCTGTATAGATTGTAACCCGCCAGACTCCTCTGTCCATGGGATTCTCCAGGCAAGGATACTTGAATGGGTTGCCATGCTCTCCTCCAGGATATCTCCCTGACTCAGGGATCAAACCTGCATCTCTTAGGTCTCCTGCATTGACAGGTAGGTTTTTTACCACTAGCACCACCCAGGAAGCCCAGTGTTGAGCTCTAATGACTGATAGTTATCTGTATACCTTAGTTTTTCTCATCTATAAAATGGTTCTGGTTCTATATATTTATTATGTTTTGAAAATAAATATGTGGTAATATTCTTCCTTAAGTAGAAGAGTCACCCAGATATATTACTATATGTTGATTTTTTAGTGCCAATCCAGTCTAAAAATACCCAGTATTGCCTTAAATGTTTCAGAAGTATCTTTTTTTAGAGTTATTTTGTTTATATCAGGAGGTCCAAACATTGCATTTGATTGATGTGTTTCTTAAGTCTCTCTCTCTTTTTTAAAATTTTGATATAGACTTTACAACTTAATGCAGCATATATCCTGAAAATTACATAAATCAAAAGCATACAGCTTGATGAATGGCCACAAATTAAACCCATCGTTGTAACTCCTCAGACCAGGAGATAAGCCATTGCCAGTTTCTCAGCAGCACCCTCTTCTTGGCCCTTCCCCTCACTACCCCATCCCCCACCAGGTAGCCACCATCTTGACTTCTCACATCATAAATTAGTTTTGCCTGTTTTTGAACTTAATATGAATGAAGTCATACAGCACATATTCTTTTCTGTCTAGCTTCTTTCATTCAGCTAGACATTTCATTCATTGTGTGTAATTCAGTGTAGAAGTAATGTGTTCCTTTTCATTACTGTATAGTATTCCATTTTAAGATTATGCCACAATTTATTTTTTATTTACTTTTGATGGATATTTATATTATTGCCAGACTTTACCCCATTATAAATAATGCCAATATTCTTTTACGTATTTTTCATGAAATGGGTCATTTTCCATGGGTGTATACCTAGGAGTGGAATATGGGGGTAATAGAACATGCTACATTGAGGTGTGTGTGGTGGATATTGTCAACAGTTAACCCAGAATGGTTATACCAATTTACAGTGGTTGTACCAGTTCATTCCCTCATCAATACTTTGTTTTCATCAGTCTTGAATTTTGATCATTCTGGTAGGTACATATGTTGTGGTGGTTCTCATTTGCATTTCCTGATGATTTATGTAGTTGAGCATCTTTTCATGTGTTAACTGTGCATTTCTTTATTGGTGGTCTGCTTTTTTCTGACTGATTTTGCAGCTATTCTTTATGTGTTCTGAATACAAGTTTTTTGTTTGTTGGGTTTTTTTTTTTTTTTTTTTTTTGGTCTATGTGTATTGCACATATCTTCTATACTTAATGCTACTCTCAGTGGTATCTTTTGAAGAAAAGAACTTTCTAGTTTTACTGTAATCAGATGTATTAATCTTTTTCTTTGTGCTTAGGCCTTATATATCTTTATACTCTGAAACTGATGCCAATTTTTCTAAATAGTCATGCAATTAAGATAGATGATGAAAGGAGAGGTAAAAATGTGTGCTTATAAAATAATGAGCCTGATTTTCAGGGATTCACATTAACTGGGTCAAAAATTCTGTGTGCTTATGTATTAATGACCCTGGTTTTCTGATATGACACAAAAAGTAAAAGAGAAATCTCCAAAAAAAAACAAAACCAGAAAGGTTTTAAGCAACAGAAATGACATTTGGAATGACAGAGTTGCCTCCCATGTGTGATCAGTCATTGTAAAAAGTCTGGTCTTTATATAGCTGTATTACAAATGGTAATAATAATGGCTGGAGAAGGAAATGGCAACCCACTCCAGTATTCTTGCCTGGAGAATTCCATGGGCAGAGGAGCCTGACAGGCTGCCATCCATGGGGTCACAGAGAGTCGGACACGACTGAGTGACTAACACACAATAATAGCAGCTAGCATTTTTTTGTAAAAACATTTTTCACGGGCCAGGCAATGTGCTGAGTACTCAGTCTGTGTCAGCCTACTTGATCCTCATGACAGCCAGTACTTAGGAATGTTACTACTATTAATGTTGTATTGATAGATATGGAAAGGACGCTGGGTAGATGAAACGATCTCCCATGATCTCCCCAAGTGGCAGAGCCAGGCCTTGAACCATTGCTCCTGTCAACTGTGCCACTCTGCCTGTATCTGCTTTGCCAGAGAGAACTCTTCATGAGGCGTGCTGCCAAACCACCCCCAACTTAGTGGTGTAAAACAGCAGCTCTTTTATTCGACTCGGGGATTCTGTAGCTCAGGATTTCAGAAAGGGCATTATAAGGGTGGCCTGTCTCTGTTCCGTGAGGTCTGGGACTCAAGAGGGAGGACTTAAAGTCTGGAGATAACTGAGATGACAGGGGTTGCAGGCATCTGAGGGCTCCCTCACCAGTTGGACTGTTGACTGGGGCCTCAGCTGGACCTCTCAGCTGGAACACATACATGATTTCTCCACATGGACTTTTCCAAGTGTGCTGGTTCCACAAGTGAATGCTTAGGTGAGAAGCAGATGAAAGCAATATTACCTTTTATGACATACCCATGGAAGTCACATGTCATCACTTCCACCAACTTAGACTTCTTTTTTTAAAATTTATTTATTTTTAATTGGAGGATAATTGTTTTACAATATTGTGTTCACTTCTGCCATGCATCAACATGAATCAGCCATAGGTATATATTAATATATGTCCCATCACTCTTGAACCTCCCTCCCACCTTCCACCCTATGCATGCTATACTTACTCGCTTCAGTTGTGTCCAACTCTGTGTGACCCTATGGACTGTAGCCCACCAGGCTTCTCTCTCCATGGGATTCTCCGGGCGAGAATACTGGAGTAGGTTGCCATGCCCTCCTCTAGGGCATCTTCCCAACCCAGGGATCGAACCTG